AGGTGGCCGAGCAATATACCGTGTACATAAGCACGATAGGCTGCTTGCTTCCCACGTGGCTCGAGGTTGCGTCCCCACGCCGCGTTCCGGTGGACGCTGGCTATATAAATGGCCAAGGATGACCCGGATGACATGGGCTCTCAGGACCTCTAGGTCCAAGGGTTTTGTGTGGGTTATTGTAGTAAAGAGAGATTTGACGCCCCACGCTAAGCACGACCTGGCCCATGTGTGATAACTTTGAGTGTTATTGCACACTACGTTTGAGGCTAGTATTTTTAATTATAGGCCAGAGTGCTTATATCTAAAAATACGAAGCACTGTGGCAATCTGCAGTTTTACTGCGAGGTGCCGGCCGAACCTATAAGGGTTAAATTTCCGTTCGGGAGGGTTTTAACCTCGACCGGCCCTAACATACAAAGACTGCTTATTGCCCAGTGTGTCTTCCTTCTCGAAACCACAATCCGCCCTTTCATCGTCCTGTCTATCAGCGTCTGCTAAACTTCCCTCCCTCACCCATCCTCATCACCCTCGCGCTATGTTATCATGGGTCACGTAATCAAATTAGCATATTCTGGGGAGCCTATCTCCTGTGAGCTGGCTCTCCAGAAAATCTTCTCCATCACAGAGGTTGCTGTAACGCACTGCTTCGAGGTTCACAATGGCTACAAAGTTGTTGTTGCCAGGCATGAACAGCTGACCCCCTTCCTCTCCTCATCCGGCCAAAGGAAACTCTCGGAACAAGGCTGCGCTTGAGGAGGCACAGAAGCTCCTAACTCGTGGGATTGTGATGTTCAACACATCCGTCCCCACCTACAATGTGGAACCAGAGAGTTTTATTCAGGTTGCCCAGTGCTTAAAATGCTACAGATTTAACCACACCAAACGCACTTACACACACGAACAGAGATGCAGCAGATGTGGCGAAGCAGGTCATTTCTTTGCCACATGTAACAAACCAATCAAATGTTGCAACTGCGAGGGGCAGCATGTCGCCGTCAGCGTGTCTTGCCCTAAACGCAAAGACATCATTAAGCACAAAAACAGAACAACAACCCAACCTACGCCTCAACACTCCGACCCTTACAAACATCCACACCCACCACTAAACACCCTAACACGATTCCCTCGGGAAACACTATGCGTCCTCCACCTCAATTCCCCCAAAACAATACCCTCATACCAAACAATAACCCCAAAATACAGACTATACTACACGTAGCTTTAATAGCTACCAAATACAACGCTAAGAAATTCACAAACATACTCCCTACACCACTACAAAAAACGGTTTCCCCAGCATTGTGATTCACCACAGCCCTCTACCTCACACACACACACGTACTTCTACAACCACAACCACAACGTAAACCTAAAGAGACCGCACAAGAAAAAAACTACAAATAAGACCCTCTGCTCACGGAAAACCCATAGCCCTCCGCTCCTCATCGTCGTCATGACGACACAATAATCGGGGACACCAGCAGCGAGGAAAGCTTCCACACTGACCTCAGCCCTGAGGTCGAAGAGGGGGCTACCGCGCTGCCTCTTCCCCCTGAGGACGCAGTTCCCGTCCTCCCCGTCAGGGGAAACATCGGGAGACATGGTAGCGTCGGGAATTGGTCCGCCGATTCCCGAGAATTCCATGTCTCCCTCTCCCAGGAGTCCCTCCCGGATCCCGAAGAGACCCAGTCTGGGGCTCGTCCTCGACCGCGTTTCCGTGAGCAGCAAACGCCACGAAAAGTGGGTCATCGTCATCTCGACCTACTCTGAGTGGCATGCTGACAATCGTTCAAGCGAATGTAAGATCATTTTATAACGTAAGACACATTTTTTACGACTTCCTAGATCGGGAAAGTCCTGACGTTGTTCTTTTAAACTCTACCTCTCTCACTAACTCCTATGCTATCAGACACTTCGATTACACGTCAAGACAATCACGAAACGGCTGGTGTGTAGAGTCCTGCATTCTCGTAAAATCCACCTTTCATTTCGAATTCATCTCACCTCCATTCATCCATAAATGATAATGAGGTTTCCTCGAAAGGCTGCGGGCTCCTCACAGATCGGACGTGACGTACTCATGCACTTTCCTGACAACGTTTTACGAGCTATGACGCACTTATATAACACTTCCCTGGCCTCTGGCTACTATACATCACCTTTCAAAACTGCTTTAGTGGCCCTCATCCCTAAGCCAAACAAAGACCTAACCGACCAATTAGTTTACTAGAGACACCAGGCAATATTTTTGAAAAGATAATTAACTCCCGACTAAGGCGATATCTCGACGATCATGACCGACTCTCTTCCAAACAATTCGGCTTTCGCTCACACCGATCGACTAATGACGCACTGACTATACTAACTAACTACTGTCTGAACAACAAAGACAGAAGACTAAAGACTGTTCTCGTAACCAAGGACGTGGAGCGAGCCTTCGACACGGTCTGGCATGCTAGCTTGAAGTACAAACTGTGCACCAAATTCAATTTTCCGTCGTGCACCAGCTTGGATGACCGTAAACTCAACTTAAATTTAAAGACAAAATTTCGGACACCATCCAAATGCATGCAGGTGTACCTCAAGGCAGCATAATCAGC